GTGCAGATGGTTGGAGGCTAATAGATTTGAATGAGAGCGGATGGTCTTTAAACCGATTGATATTTATCAGTGTGTCGCTTTTTTTTCTGAGATCTCTCCAATAATCTTTACTACCTCTCACCACGAACAAATGTAGAGGTTTCGCATGGTTACTGACCCTTGCAATGGAATCAAATGTAAGTGATCGTAAAGCACACAAGCCTTGTCAGGGAAGACAATGTCCAGATTTCGCAACACTTTATTTGTGTTCTGGGGAACACTACTGAGCGGAATTCTAATACTTCATCGTAATCCCCTTGGTGAAAATAGTGAATGTTACATCTAAAACAATTACAAATACATGAGAAGCTTATTGGCGTTTCGGTTGTCCGCAGTGGTGAAAAAGCAACGTACGGGATTCACGTCCGTGTTATGCTGCATTTTTATAAAAGTTGATCCGCAGATTCTGATGTCCAGGATGTATGCAACTTACACCAGAATGCAAAACCAGACAAACTCATGGAACTTATTGAACGAATATGTCCTGACTTTCGGATTTAACTGTCTGTTGGAAACACTGCTCCGACGCTTGTAGACTTTTCTTTGTTGAGTCTTCCCCCGAACTATTGTGAATGATGATTTTGTCTGGTAATATGATGGACTTGTGGCAATTTTGTAAGCGCCAGCACAAGAATATGAGGGAGAATACATCGAGTCATGTAATGAATGCAAACATTGAACGCTTGACCGCAAACTTGCGTAGGAAGTTCAGAAGTTAAACCAATTTAGCTCATACTTTCTTTAGTTTACTGTCCGGATTTATATGTTCGGATAGTTCACAGTAAAAATCAGTTGTTCGGAAGTTTCTCTATTTTTAGGGAGAATATTTCATCGTTTTTAATCGCACAATGCACTTGGTGATTGAACGACAATCTGGTAGTACCAACATCAAAACTCCTAACTTCCAGTGAATAGTGGACTGATAAAAAAGCACAAGCCCTTGTACAAGAAGCATCGTTGTTCGTTTTTGTGCGTCACACATCTCCGTTGGTGTTGCTTGGAAGCTAGTCACACAGAGTAACATGGGACGCTATACTGATCGATAGGTTTCACAAACATTCCCACCACTGTATTCTTTTCTTTGTGGTGTCACATCCTCGATATTCACAAACTATTGTTCAAATCTGTCTCAATTTGCCAAAGAGGCCGTTTATTTGTGGTCACAAACATTCCCACCACTGTATTCTTTTCTTTGTGGTGTCACATCCTCGATATTCACAAACTATTGTTCAAATCTGTCTCAATTTGCCAAAGAGGCCGTATTATTTGTGGGTAACTGCACTGACGCATTACGTCTTGTTCCGTTCACAGAGTTTTTGATCATTTGCTATTATCAGATACACTATACCATTTCACTTGTTCCATCTGAGAATCGCCAATCAAATGATCCTTTGAAAAAACCAGTCTGCGTCCTCGTCAACCCAGTTTGTCCGAAAGACCTATTTTATACGTTACTTATCAGCCTGTTTACAGCCGAACTGATGTTTACATAGTCTGACGGACAAACTCTGCATTGGCTGATAAAATCGATCGCGCAGTAAAACCGTAAAACCTAAATCGAGGCTAGGAATTCCGCATCTCTGTTTGCGAATCACTTGGTCACAGTTGGTCGTGTGGTCGATACTAAGACAGCTTTCGAACATCTGCACCTTGGGGGCAGCCGAAAGGCATTGGCACTCGTACAGCCTGCATTCATTGAAGCACGGCCACCCCTGTGGTCTACACAGGTGGCTCGTTTTGAGACGCGTCGGCTACAATGGCCCCAAATTACGATTTCTGTGACTTCTGTGACCTTTATTGGGTACGTGATGCACAATACTGCCACCAAGCTAACATTATGTAAAAAAGGTGTATGCGAATTAAAAAGTTAAATGGGGTAAAAATATTTCTCAAATCTTGTCTTGTGTTCTTCTTGTGGAAATATGGGCTACTCATTCGGCAATGTTACATAAAGGAAAAGAGCTTAAATGACATTTCTCCTTCAAGAGCAGGAAACAGGTCTACCACTTTCGGTCAAGCTAAGTAATAGTACGCATCTATTTTAACATTATTGTACTCTATTTCAACTTGTATTTCTATGAGACGTGTTTCAATGTAAATAGGTGTTCTTTATTTTAGTTTTTATTGGAATTATGTTTGTTTCTTGAAAGAGTCAAATCTCTGCAACTAATATAAGTTCTAAGGTGGCAAGAAAGCAGAACCGTCGTTGAGCTTGGAGTAAAAAACAATACAAGATCACTGACTGCTAGAGTATGTCACAACAGTTATGAGGGTCGGCTATCAAAAAGTAACGGCCTCATTCATTTCAAATAATTCTTTCTAGTGTAACTTTGCTACTGGTAATCGATCCAGCTGATGGTAAGCATACTGTCGTTCCATGTTAGGACGTGGCTTTACAACTTAGTTCAAACAAAATCACCGGATACATCCAAGCTACTGAACTGAATCAGAGCATCTGGAGTCACGATCATATGGACCGTTTCAGTACGCCAATTCGGATTAAGTCATTCCACAAACGATCACAAGGGAATTACGTGTACTTAGATCCGTTGGTAAAAATTGGACGATCAGTTAAATATAAAGGTAAACTGTAAGTAAAGAAAGACGAAGTCTGGAAACACATTCACTTGAAAACTAAGCTGATTTTTACAGGGAACACAACTGCTACCCAAATGAATCTATGGTTTATGATATTCTCTACTAAATGTGATGCATAAACGCTACCTCATATCTCCGTTAGAGTCTGTTGTAAGCCAAGGAATATATAGGTCAGCGAAGGGCACTGCCGAACCGGCAACTCATGTGCACTAATTAATTTACCGTCACTTTAGACATCAATCAAGACACGAAAATGCAGCAGAGGATAACTGTATTAGAGCATAAAAGCAAAGAAGTGTTCTCTTAGTACAAGTCGAGTACTAAGTGGTGCAATTAAGTCCTTCTCTCCTTGCAAGTATACTCTGCTCGTGTTGTTTTGGTTGCACAAGATTTTTGTCACGTCAAAACATGTTAAAACAGTTAATCAGAAGAGCAAGAAGACGTTATATACTGCATGTAAATATGTCCTTCATATTCTTCAGCCACCCTGAAGTAAAACGCTTTCATGGGTTAAGTTGTGGGTGGTCGAGGCATTTGTAGCCTGCACGGTCAAATTATTCGTCTGAACAGCCGTCCTAGCGAAATCACTCTGGTGAGTTCAAACCACGGGGAGGAAGCACTGGACTCGTGTTTTGCTCCACTTGAAGCCCATCGACAGCACATACATCTGACCGCACCGGGGTTTAAACTCCGGACATCTGATGTGCGAGGCGAGCCTGTTACAACTATTTCACCAGCATACGCTGGATGCATCTGAATTCTCACGTCTGAGTAGACGAGTGGTTGATGGATATGCCCGACGATCCAATCGAGGATCCACTAACACCATGGTTGTGTTGATCGATTGGCACGCATGTCAGGATTTCCCTGCCGGGTAGCACCACAAACGCTCGAAACATGCTGGACAATTTGTGGTTAGTTGTGGTCAGTTGCGGGATTCGTAGAACGCGCGCTCCCATGAACCGTTTGAACGGTCGTCTTCCTGTACTAGCTTAATCATTCTGGTTGGGGATTCGTAAATTCAGCGGGGTAGTAGCTGTCTATGTTGATGTAGCAATGTCTGGCATGGTGCGTACAGGTCTGCCACACTGTGGATGGTCACGGTTATGCGGTATGGTAAGCTTAACCAGCATCATTGGAACGAGAATGCTGCGTAGGTCCTTGAAAAATATAGCACTAACGGATGGCAAGCCACGGTGCTGGTCCCATGAGTTCATGGTTAATGCCTACACGCCTGCACACACCTAACACGTTGACGAAATCCAATCAGCCCTCTGGGCATGCCAGTATCAGAACATGCGTTTGGTCATACAACGTCCTCCTGTCTCCATGGCATGCGACCGAACGCAAGAGCGTGTCCGCATGTTCTGCCAGGTTTTCTGTACAGGTGTATATCAGGTGTCCTGATAAGCCTTCCATCACGGCTGTTTGTCATTACTCTTCTGCTGGCCAGATTGAGCTCCTAATGTAGGAGCGCGCGAATCTCGACATGATTGCATTTCCCCTTTTTTTTCGGCACTAGCCCCTATTCCTTCATGGCTTTGGTCCAGACAAATAAGAAGTAGTCTGCGTAACCTCGCTTCCGAACTTGTCCTGTGTGTCCTACGCCCGGAAGAAATAACATCTGAACCTCATCTCAATGGTTTGTTTAGCATAATGACAGATGATCACTGAACCATGCGTGACAACAACACAACTGACTTTTTTGCACTCTGCAATTGATCCACTCTGCTCTTGGACTTCTAATTTTTTCGGTTGGATCTGAAGTGGTATGGCTGTAGTACTTGATGTATTGCTGCGCCACCCTTTTTCTGCAGCATACTTTCTAACATTTGTATCGCGTCCCATCAGAATGACAAGGAGGATGAGTAATGCGTTTTGTTTGCTCGTCACAGAAAAAAATATTGGTTGGAAAATTCCAAACCACTGTCCACCTACCTGATTGTCTGTCAGCCTACCTAACCGGGAAATCACAATGCAAAGTTGTAAATGAATTCGCTTTTAGATTTGACTAAAGATCATCTGTGATTCACTATCAATGGGCACAGAAGACCGAAAGAACTTCTTTGCGCCTGATCGGAGAAAGAAAACTTCAGTTACTTCCAGGGTAAATCGAAACTTTTCTAAGGTTAAAAGGATGCAAGTATTATTACAGATTGTTCATATATATATATATATATATATACCATTCTAGGGAAACATTCCAAGGTCTCTGTTTACAGCAGCCCCAAGTAGTAAGTACACAACTCAAGCACTGTAGTGTTTTCTGCTATTTCGAAATTCCGATGGGGTAGTTTTGATTAGACAAACTATTTTCAACCAGGTCTTAATGGGAAGAAGCAATTTTGTTTCGATAGGCCAAAATGGTTGTGTACGTTACTGTACCAAAGATAATGCTTGGTCACAAGCTGTCCCTGTTCCCATATCTACAGGACGTGCGGAAGTTGTGTCCACATTTTTCGGTGGAGATAAAAGTATGGGGTATGAAATTTCTGACAGGACATTCTCACGGTAGTCGAAGATTGGTAGGATCTTTAGGTGTATTTTTAGTGTCAGATGAAGACCAAGTAAACACTGGTGCAAAACCGTCACATCATGCATCAGCTAGGTGAAATTTCTCCCTCAGTAACGGTTTTGTTAGTGTAAATTATCTACTTCCCTCTTATGGCACTCAGAGTTATTTGCCGGGTCCCACAGTCTATAGTTTTGTTTGGCGCTACCTAAGTCAGTAGATGTTCCAGCGCTTGAAAACAACTGGGACTAATTTTTTCCAAACTGTATGCGGAAGCATTGCTACATATAACTACTGGCGGTGCGAAAACTTATTACCTGTCGGAACTGATTTCTTGCTTCTTAATACATCTTTCTGGTACATTCAATAGGCATAGAAATGGATGTGTTGAGTATTACCAGAAACTGCTGTGAACTTCTGACTATGTGAAAGATTTTGGCACTGCACAAGTTTTCTCACCTGAGAAGGTTTTAGTCTGTCTCCAGATGGTTGTTAAACGAGATAATGAACAAGTATACACAAAACACATGTCTCTCAACCAGAGGTCAGCGACGCGTAACACCGAGGGTCCATAGAATGTGCAAACTTACGAAGAGCACAAGCGGCAGTTAAAATATCACCAAAGTGGACCCAAGAAATCAAGGGATCTTCCATCAAGTTACGAGTTTTATTTTGGAAACTATCTGAATGAATCGTAGGAAGCCCACGTGCATGATACGGCTCGTGAAGTCTCGTGGTCGGACGACATTTTCTGCTTGTGGATCAACGTTTTTGGACTCAGTTTAGTAATGTACTCATCGATGAATCGATTAAAATGAAGGTGCACAGGTCAGAAAGAGATAATGATTTTCCTAAACTGGTTAAAAATTATCTCATAGTCGGAACGCATCCTCATATTGCTGTTGAAGTTTAACAGAGGGGACAGTCAGTGTTCCCCGGGTTCGAAGAACAATTTGGTGACAAATCACCATTCTTATCTGTCTAACTGAACAGTTGTTGAGCCTTTGAAATGAGGGCGGATAATGTTTAACCCATCATGCAGAATTTTGGAAACTATAGGTAGACCTATACACCAAATGAGAACAATGTACAATGAGAACAATGTAATTCATCAGGGCTTTCGCTGTAGGCGATAATATAGATAATATAGATAATATAGATATTGTTAACAGAACACGCAAGTACAAGAACACAATGTGCTACACTGTAACAAGAAGTCTATAAACTGCACTGCACATTGCATTTATTTATGCATCCGGGCAGATTGTCGTTACAAACTTTTGAAGTGGAGCCGCTCAAAATGCTTGCTTGGACGTACTCTTCTGAGGTCTACCACATCCCCGTCCACTTCTTTCCACTTTCATTTCAAAGAGTGGTCTAACGTTATGCCGGCGAAAGTAGTGAAAGTTAACCGTATGTTGTTAGACAGTGAAACGAGATTCGAGAAGTCCCAGTACATGTGGTATTAACAAAAAAGACGTCCCGGGATGGACACAATTTTTCGAGATATGGGGAATTCCAAGCGAATAGGGGTGGGCCTCACTCTCTAGAATGTGCATCCTGTAAGCAGGAAGTTGGAAATTGGAGTCTGTTCCTGGGCGCATCTTTTTGTTCATGCGACGCTTGTTTCGACTATTGTAAATTGCTATTATAAATTGCTAAAACACTATCCAATGCATGTTCACAGCGTTTTCTGGAATAGAGCAATTTAAATTTATCTAAGTTGGTAACCGGTGCCAGATGTTAAGCGTCAGTTGAGATGGACTAATGTGACGTAAAAAGTCATTTTAATGAAGATTTCACCCTGCCTGTAAAGTCGCTTAAAAGTGGTTGGGTCCTTACGGCTACCTCATTCTTGTCGAGCAATGCGTTCCTCAAAAATTCCTAAAGAGATTTGAACCAGCGATTTGTTGGATTTTCACCAGCGGCTAATCAGTATTGTGAATGACTCATGCTTAGGCGAGGTGTAGTGCTACTCATCCTCTAGTTATTTAATTAACACCGCATCTTTAGGCGACCAGCTGCTAACTTGGCTAGTTCCTAGATGGAAAGTTCTTGCGATCTTTAGGAATACCTTTTTCTGGCAATTACGTAAAAAACCAATCAAAATGAATGCAAATCTCCTGGACTGCATGAGCAGCACACGTGAAAAATCGTTACTGGAGCAGTTGGGCAACACGTTCTACGTGATAAAGATTCCGTGGTTGGGAAGCGAGTGGCGCGATATCCTGTCTAAGTATGAGTTAATCATGCGCCTGATCAGCCGCTCGTGGCTGTGGTTTTCCATCTAACTAACAAGTGGAAGTTCACACGGTTGACTGTTTTCTGGAACAATGAAGTACTGTACGGTGCCTTCATTATTTTCGTCAATTGACTTATTTCTCCACTAAGTCCCCTCAAGCGATTAGCGAGCAAATGTTTGGTAATGTAAGAAGTTAATTTAGTGGTGCCCCATCCGTATACTTTGTTCGAAATTCCCTATGGTTTTGGTCAACCATTCATGATGTGTATTTATTGACCAACAAAAGGGGGATTAATTGAATCCACTGTCTTTGTATTTCTATGATTATTTCGATTACTTTTAATACAGCGATCCGAAAGAATGCATGCGGTAAAATAACCGCAGAACTGCTCAGCAGAGAGAGCTTAATTTAAATCTTTGAAGGGGAGCTCCCATAGCAAACCACTTGAAAATGTCTTACTTGATCTAGGAGTACTGCATTTTCCTATTGGTACCTTACGGACAACTTCTGGAATTACGCACACCCACTTCACTCGGACCGTAGAATCGCCCGCAAGCTTACGTTACAAGCGTGGTATGAAATCATCGTTTTTAAATTTGTTAAAAATCACTGGGTGAGCAAATGTCAATGTGAGGCGATGAAACCCGCCTTCCAATGCAGGACTAACCGTACACGCTATTCATGTTCTATGTTATCACTGTGCCAAAATCATGCTCACGAAGAAGCACAGCGATTCATTTCCTTGCTGAAGTAGGGCTTACTAATCAGGACATGACCATAAGGTGAAGCTTTGTTGGTACTTTAGGCGCCATAAAAATCGTGACAGCTTGTCATTCACTGACGTTGCGCCGAATTTCATCCGACTGTTTACAGAAGGCAGTTTGGTGAGAAAGCTCGTGTGTTGTACCAAAAAGAGCTAACTGCACGACTATAGTGACAAATGAAAAGGTTCAATTTTTAATGCAGAAGAATTTACAAAGATTTATACTGATGGATTGAGGCAAAAACTTAGTAGCACTACTTGCGTGATTGTTTGATAGTAAATATGTTATTATCCGTCTTTTTTGCCCACGTCTTCGTTGTTTGCCAGTGAAGACAGTCGTTCAGAACCTTAAAAATCAATGACGCAAAAGAGAGATTACAAACTCCTTGCGCTCACACAACCTTCCTTGGTTAGCCTGGCAGATTTCAACAAAACCACAATGATGGTGGCGAAAAGACCGGAGGTGGTTTTTAAATTAACAATTCACGGACCATTGATGCATCTTTGGCTTGAAAATCAATCTAAGACGCTGTAGGCGGTCTATCTATGTGCGACTCCTTGGCCGCATGAAGAAAACTTCTATTTGAGGGAAGTTTGAGAAAAACCCTACTACTAGTTGTGGAGCACTTTATTTTTATTTGGGATCATAGTATATTTTAAACTATGCTTTGTTTGGCTATTCTGTCACCTGGACCGGATTCTTGTTTGATTGAATTTGTAATGGCAAATAATTTTGAGACAGTGTAAAGGCTACTAGATGATTGTTGCTTGATGTAATAATCCATTGAACAAGATTGCTTAGTGCGTTTACCTTGAGTGTAAGTGCTTTCTATCCCATAATCTGTGTTTTCAAGTAGAAAAAACATTTGATTTATTTCCAAATATATTTTATTCGTTGAAATTCAGATCGTACTTGTCCTTTATGTTTAGTAGTTGTGGAAAATCATCCCATTAGTTTCGACCTCGAAAACTGGATTTTGTTCCGAAAATATGAATGGGATATTTCAGCGTCACCGGTCGGGACATAGGAGTATCTCCGCGCAAGTAATCCCCGATTAGCTCAAAAAACCTCAAACTGTCCATTGCAGCAGGTAGCAGCAACTTCAGAATTTTTTGGGATATGAAAAATGGCCTAAGTGATTGTAGCACTTGTCAATCAATCTCTGCTGTGACTGAAACAAATATGACGGTTCTTCCTCTCTGCCATCCATGGTAGCGACACTTTTTCTGGGGTTTTCTAAAATACAAAGGAAAGACTCCGTTCGGCCTTAAGTGAAACCATTTACTGGTAAAAGGAAGAAGGCGTTCACTGCGGAGCTTTATTATTATAAAAAGCTACTTGCATACCTCATCAGTAGTATTTACCGTTACATTGGTATAACATACGAAAGAAACTGCTTTTTCCACCACAAAGTTCTCTAATAACATCTGGGTAAAATAACAGTCGAAGAAAATAATAAAAATAGCATTTTAACTATCAGTAGCTTAAAAGGAGGAATATTTTGAGAGAGAGAATCTTCCATCTGAGCAGTCGTTACTAAAGAAACCAGCCATCACGTGTAAGCATAATGGGGATTCCGTGGATGGAGGATACGCGGCGGTATATCCCACCTAAATACCTTTTGATCACACCACCGATTAGTTGTTTGCGGTGGAAAGAGTTGGGCTTTAACCAGCAACCGGCTGTTGCGAACTGATTCCCCCTGGGGATTCGTGAGATGAGCGCTGCTGATGATTTTCAATAAAGATGAATCAGAAGTAGAATGCATTTCTTTTTTGACGTAAACTTAGTCCACTTACAAGACAAAGTCTTCGTGCAGTCCCCAAATCTCCTCACAATATCAATATAGTGCTAAGAAACTACGAAAAATATCTGACTTTATCTTGCGCATACGATTCACTTTGGTTCGGTAAATTTTACGCTGTTGAAAAAAGTCCAAAAGGGGCGAGCTGACAATTTCACCTTGAGACGAGGCGGCTTAGATCCTCAAAAATCCAAATAAGACTACCACATCAGATTACTAACTTTCTGAAGACCAGGCACCCCATACACCACACTCATTACCTCAGTGGTGCCACAATTTTCGTTCACAGGATCTGGTTCTTCGTGTATTTGTGCTGTCGGCGATTAAAGTGCAATTTTTGCACTGAAAATTTGCACGTATGGGTTTGTGTGGCTACTGGCTGAAATGCGGATAAATGCAGGTTTCACAACATCTACTTTTCTGGCAGCCTGACAGATGGCTACTCCCATACGACGGAGAAAGTATGCTGCCATGCACTTTGACAAGGTTTTCCTTATCAGCTCTGTTTTACCACTGCTATTTCGGTCGAAGAGATAAGAGTGGAGAATGCTCCAGCACTGATAGCAACTTTATTCCTGAGGACTATGAGTTGCGCAATTGATCTTGTGTACGGCATGAAAAACTTCTTAATCCCGCGATCCCGGCAAAGTTTTCAGTGCCCCAAACTTGTGGAAAAATTTTCAGTGTTTTTTTACCAAGAAAGATAAAGTCCACAGATTTTGACTAGATGCACGAACTTGCCTGAAAACTGGTGAGCGTGAAACATTGGCCAAACTCAGCCTACTTCCTCTGAAGCAACGCTGTGCAGTTTCGGATCCAATCATTACCTATCAGTTCCTCAAAGTGAATTCGGAAGCAAACTTTCATCACTGGCTGTCAATCAGATGGTAGATGGTCTGTTCGCCAACTTAGTAGGTGATTTGATGCTGAGGACATTGTAAATGCGTGGTGGGTTAGGAGAGCTCAAAGACCTCCTTCATTTAGCCTCCAAAAGCAGTGCAAGGTAAACTGAATTAAGGTTAACCACCCACAGTATAGAAAAGCTACTAGCCAAATCAACCCCATCAGGCAGAGTAACTAACTCTAATCCATGAAATCGGGTTCAGGGTCTTCTGACCGTAAGTTAAAAAGGAAACCGGATGCCACGTAAATCTGTGCATGTCACACCAGGTTCTGGGATGGTTTTGACAGCGGATTAACTGTGTCTGGAGGCAGCTCAAAAAGTTCTCAAGGAATCTGGCTTGTGGAAAAGCTCAAACGGAGTTTTTTCACGTTCCGCTGCTGGACGGTCCACTGACCAGTGTATATTAAATAAATTAATCGTTAAAATGCGACTGCTTTAGTCATCGGTTCACCCCTTGCAGTTCCTCGTAAAACCAAATGTTTGCAGTTTTTTCACCTGAAGTTTACCTACTATGCAGTCCGAACATATCCAGGTTTTGTGGGTTTTATTAAAATGATATTTTTCTGACCGATTTTTGGGAACCCCATGTCATCCGCGTACGTTCAGATTTCTCTCACTCTATCAGTCAAATCAGTCTACCAATTTCGAGGATCAATCACAGGCAATCCATGCTGAACTATAGCACTTGAAAACACCATTTTCAAACTAATTCCAGGGAAAGACTCATCAGAACTATGATCTGACGACATTCAGTAGACAACGATAAACTGGCAGTTTATCATTTGGTTGAACGCAATAAAAAGGCAGAGGAAAATTACGTTTGTTTTGACGGAAACATCAACAAGGCGATAGTCCAAATAGAGTGTTATTTTGCTAAAAGTTATTTTGTGAACATTTTTCTGCGTTGGAAAAAAGTTCTCTAACGACTTCCTGGTTGGGGCAATTAAGCCGGTGACAGTAAGACAGATGGCTTTTGGTAATAGAACTTGCGGTTCTGTCATAGACTTTAATTAAACGCCACGCCGGATTTGCAGATTAGCATAGCTGATTGCTCTGTAGCCTTAGTGATTTTCCCCAAAGAACTTCAACTGACTGTTTCCGAACATTTAAACCGTCATTCTGTGCTTACACATGTTTGTAATGCCACTTCAAAATAAATGTTAATGAACTATATCCATTTCGCTCGAATACATGAAAAAATAGAACCTTTTGGAATTCCGGAAAATCGGACTGTTCCCCCTTACCTTTGGTGAATCATTAATCATAGTATTCTAAGCTGATCTGTTTGTTCTGTGAACTTAACGGTTCTGTCGTACAAATGGGCTTAGAATAGATCAACCAACAGATACAAATATACCTCTGGGACGATGAGAACAAGTAGTGTTTGGTTGACTTAGTAATCACTTCGGAGAACACAGGGCTGAGCTAGAGCATTAAACACAGAGTTAGAGAGAGAGACAGATCTCTGAGTGGAACCTGCCTCCCTAAACGTTAAAAACGTTAGTAGCGATGTGTATAAAGAATCATGTCCTGTCAATGTTTGATTTATTTGTTAACAGGGGATCATATGTTGAATATTGCTTGCAATCAAAAGTCCTTAACGTATTTGTAAGAGCTGAATATGCTCCCAGTAACTGGATATAGCATCTGCTCGTAATGTTCATGCAGAACTGTCATCATCATCATCATCGACAGCACGACTTCATTATTGAACACCAATATGTATTGAGAAATATCTCGGCTGACTGATGATCCGCGAAATTCCCTGTCAGACATACCATCTGCATGTCCCAGAAGACTGTGTCCATATTCCTAATATATTTCTATTTGAATTTAGTTGTTGTGTTTAGCTGCAACTATAGAGCATTTGACAATCGGCGCAGTAGTCTTTGGTACACAGATCGATACATTTAGATCAATACACGCAAAATATTTATTTAGAAGAAGGATTTCCACACAACAACTGATTATTTTTGTGCTCCAGATCTCTGACAGGTTGTTCGTGCTTATTGAAGTTAGGAAGGTTCCTGTACAACCGGTGACATTTAGCTACGAAACCCTATAGGGAAACACAATTTTGCGAGTTAGTAGCTGTGGGATTTAAGGCCTAAGCAGCCTCGTAGTTTGATATAGTATTGAAGCAGGCGGAATATATGCCTGAGGGTACGAAATATTTACCAGCTTTTAGTCATCATTGTTGCTACCAGGTTCACTAATATAGCGAATTCGGATCTGAGGATAGCTTATTTTTGAAGTTGACAGTTAAAGTCAGTTAATTGGGACCAATCGAATTGAGTGGGTGGTTTTGGTGTCTCATATACCAGGCTTGAGCTCTCAGTGTGACAGTACACGCCGGACTAAAAGCTGTGTAGCAAGCAGGCAAGCGAATACTGTACGCGAACGCCGTAAGAGAATATTGTACCAGGCCCAGTCATAGTTCGCAATCACTCACCTGCTTTTAGGTTAATTGAGTTTGAGATAGCTCAGTGAATCAAGCACGAACTTACTGGCAGAAAAATTTATGGTTCGAGACCAGCATATGAATCTCGACTGCTCCTGTCTAAGCTCGGACCGCCTGGCAGTAGCCCAGCCTTTGTAACTCCTTAAGGTGTCATTACAGCTAGAAACGGTAGGGGTGTTACAGCTGAACGGTTTTCTATATGCGCACAACAGGATGCGGCATTAAATCTATTCCAGTCGAATTCGTTTCAACCGACGTTCAGTTTCACCTGTTCTTTGTCATCCATGTCCAAAGGTGGAACAATCCTTTTCGGTAGTGTATCAAACGGATGACGAACGATGCCTTATTTCTTTTCCATCCTACTACAAGAAGGTAAAAGTATAGGTTAGAGTTGTCGTTAATTCAGGCTTCTGCATATCTGAACTCGCTACTATACTTTTTTTTCAATAAAGCTAGTGGTTAATTTCAACATCATCCACACACTTATATACAGAGCTCCACAGCTTTTCCTGTTGTAATGTCCAACAAACCAGATGGGAGAGTTGTTTACCATTTCCTTCCAGTGACGATCTCTGGATCTAATCCGATTATTTTCTAATCAAGCAAGTCATGGGTTTTTAATGTCATTAGTTTCCAAAGAGAGCTTGAAATCGATCCTCTTAGTTTGTTTTTACTTACCGGGTGCTCATAGTGCAGTGAGTAAGTGAGAACCAAGGCTTCTGAAAATTGTCCTTGTTGTTTAATTGATTAGCAAATGAGACGCTGAGATGGATTTATTATTGACGCTTGTGCAAAGAATAGGTAAGGGTGTAATATGACGAGAAGAATCAGACAATTATTCTAACTGTTGTGGTCACCGGTATGCATCAAACTGTTGAAAATTTAATTCAAAGGCTTTATTTATAAGAACAATGCGTTGATGGCTTTCGGGAGACACTCTCTGTCTGTCTTCTCCTGATAAAGAGTCATCAGACAGATGAATTTATTAATACGCTGCGCACAACTGATAAATCGGTTCGACTAACACCTACCTTGCGTTAAATTTTGATTAGTTGTCGAGCTGTTTGGCGGTCATCACTGAAGAACTACTGACCGCAACACCAGAGGACAGGTTCTGTCACATCTAACTGTTTGTAAAACGCTTAGTATAATAATTTTTAGCACAGATGGTATTCTATCGTAGGAAGAAAAGTAAACATCTTCGTTGTTCTGATAAATTCATAAGGATGCTGAAACTTTTTCGACAGTTCCGGACCGGTTTTACTCCTACCATCCGCCAACCTCATTTTCCACTTAGACACCAAGCTGTGCGTAATTGGTGGAACACACTGATTTGCAAATTACTACGTAGTTAACGAGAGACTCAGCTGGATTACCCGTTTGCGCTATTCTTCAACCTAATGTTTCAGTTGGTATGATACTCGCAGTCTATTTTGACCTGTCACACCAGTCATACACTGAACTACACAAAGTGCGCTATTATTCAGGGGTAGGCTTTCGGATGATTGTTTATGACAAAAGAATAGCGCTAACTGCGTTTGCAAATAAGCACTTGCAACCCGAAGGCTTGTTCAATAACCTAGGTGATTCCTCACGGGAAACATAGACATTCTTGTATCCACCGTGGTTTGTGTAAGCAGACAGAATAAGGCTGCACATGATTACGAATTACGTTTCGTCCAAACAAGGTATACTTCGATGTTCGCGAGTTCACTGAGTCATAGGGCTATATGACAGTGCCTCATATCAGGACTATACACACGTCACTGAAGCCGCTGGCCAGAAGTCGAGTGACCACGCACTTACATGTACTCGTCACTGAGATTGTAGTGACAGTTTCTTGCAGACTTTTCCTACAAAGTGACTGTGATCCATGTACTTAGCGGTAAAGTTTACGGTACGAAATTTTTCCTCGGTTCCCGAATTCTCGAACTGATCTGTTGCCTAGGCAACCAGGTGAGGCGGGGACGATTTCTAAATATACAACACAGGAACCGTCACGTTTCATCATGCCTCATGGCTTCCTGTTTCCGCCGAAATATAGTTGACCAATGAAACATAATTATTCTCAAGAAGTACACTCATTTGCAACTCAATTTATTTTTCACGAGAGACTCAAACGAGTCTCTCGTTTGTGATATTCTACAATTGAATGTGCTGCACACAGGCTGCCTCATATTTTTTGGTAGTTT